TATTTTTCCCGTTTATGTAGAATCTCTTTATGGTAAAACATTCAAACGCTTTAATAACAAACATATATTCCTTGAACTGACGATTATAACCCTAATCTCTCGTTAGCCCTTTTATATCATTATAAAGTATTTTTCCCTATAATTTTATGTAGGATTTATTTATGGTTTATATGGAAATTATATCTGAATTAAATATACAAATTAATTGTCAATCAACTAATCATTTATATGGAAATATTAATATATGAACTGCACAGAGTCCACTCTGGCGGGGAACGCCGGTCTCGTGGCGGCTCTGGTGGCGCTCTCAGAGTCTTCAGCGGCATTGGACAGGAGGAGCATCTTCAACGTCCTACCTCCGGCGTACTCGGAGTCGCTGCCTCCGCCGGCCCATGGACGCCATAGGTTTATTACTTATTTGTTTTCTTTCATTTCACTTTTAGAAAAGAGATTTGGTGTTTGATCTGCATTCTCAACTCTAACAATAACACAAGATAACTTGAAGAGATTAATATAAGTAGTTCATATATGGTTTATATGGAAATATTAATTGTAATCTCTGTCAATAATATACATCATTCTCATTATCACAAATCATTAATACTAAATTTTGACCAGCGCCTAAGCGCGGAATAAATAATTTGGTTGACTAATCGATTTTAATATTTTTTTTTAATATTTAAACGTGTATGAAAAATTATATGATTTTCAATATCTACAAACGTATACAAATGATATGTATTATGCATAAATATAATAAAATTAAATACTTATTATCAAGCATATGTTAATGCCATTAGTTTTGATATTTTTTTGTGTAAAAATGATCAAACCATATACAAATGTTATTTATTTCAATATCTTTAAGTGTAAATATCTCATTATCTTAATTAAGCTTTATGTTTTTTGTTAAACTTTATGAAAATGATCAAAACATTAAGCCTTTGCATTTTTGTTTGCTTAAATTTATTTTATATTTTGCTTATATTTTACTTATGTTTTGCATGAAAAACAAATTATTCCAAATTTATTTCAATTAGAAAAACTGTTAAAATTTATGTAGAAAAAATACATGATCTATATGCTTTGTCACTAAACAAAATTAAACCATGATTTGCTTATATGATTTATCATGATCAACTAATGTTTTGCTTACATTAAACTCTACTCTCTCGTAAGTCCTTTTGTATTGATTACAAAATATTTTTCCCGTTTATGTAGAATTTCTTTATGGTAAAACATTCAAAAACTTTAAAAACAAACATATATTCCTTCAACAAACGATTATAACCCTAATCTCTCGTTAGCTTTTTTATATTCATTTTTAAGTATTTTCCCCTATAAGTTTATGTAGGATCTCGTTATGGTTTATATGGAGATTATATCTGAATTAAATATACAAATAAATTGTCAATCAACTAATCATTTATATGGGAATATTAATATATGAACTGCACAGAGCCCACTTTAGCGGGGAACGCCGGTCTGTCTCGTGGAGCTCTGGTGGCGCTCTCAGAGTCTTCAGCGGCATTGGACAGGAGGAACATCTTCAACGTCCTACCTCCGGCGTACCCGGAGTCGCTGGCTCTGCCGGCTCTGTGGACGCCATAAGTTTATTACTTATTTGTTTTCTTTCATTTCAGTTTTAAGAAAGATATTTGGTGTTTGATCTGCATTCTCAACTCTAACAATAACACAGAAAACCTGAAAAGATTAATACTAATCTCTTCAAGTTATCTTGTGTTATGGAAATATTAATTGTAATCTCTGTCAATAATATACATCATTTTCATTATCACAAATTATTAATACTAAATTTTGATATGCGCCCAAACGCGGAATAAATAATTAGGTTTCGATTTTAATAAAAAAAATTAATATCTAAACGTTTATGAAAAATTATATGATTTTCAATATCTACACACGTACAAATATGATATGTATTATGTATAAATATAACAAAATTAAATACTTATTATCAAGCATATGTTATGCCATTAAGTCTTTGTATTTTTGTTTGCTAAAATTTATTCGGGGGAATCACAAAAATGCCACAAATGGGCAGCAGTTTGCAAAACTGCCACACGCGCTGGGCCCTTTACAAAAATACCACGATTATATCCGAGAAGGACAAATTTACCCCTAAAACAAAAGAACGCTCTCAATATTCTCTCTCCCAAAACCTAATCGCCATCGGCACTTTTCATCTCTTTAGAAAAGAAATCGAAACTTTTTAGACGTAATCCCCTATCTTATAAAAGAGAAGTTAGAGAGAGAGTCCTCAATTTACTCTCATAATGACACATCAGATTTTTTAGTACATGTCTTTACCAGAAAAAAAATTAAACAGAAAATAATTTATTCACTTTTGCGGTTACAGAACATAACCTATTGATTTAAACATATTCTTTGTATTTAAACATTTTATTTTTAATAAATATTTGTAATTAGCCAAACCCTCAACCACGATCTCTTCCACTCTCTTCTGCCGATTTTTCTGCAAACTATTTTTTCAAACTCCTCTCTACACGAAGCCAAATTCTGATCTATTCTTCACTTATTTTCTCTTCATCTCTTCTTCACTGTATTTTCAACCTCCCATCTTCTTCACTTATTTTCGCTTCTTCTTTCTTCCCAAAATCAAATATCAGATTTTTGTTTATCCAAAACTTAAATCGCAGTATGCTTGAGTTTTCATCAATTTCAGATCTTTGTAATGAACCAGAAGTATGTAAAATCAAAGCTCGCATCGTCCGCGTTTGGGGATTTCAAAAGCTAGAAAATCCGGGTGCTTTTACTGGATTAAATTTACTTCTGGTTGATGAAAAGGTCATATTAATATGATTTAGTGTGTATTAAATGAAATTTTTTAAAACTTAAATGTTTTCAAAAATAGTTTTGTCTATGTGAACACTCTAGATGGAGAAAAAGCTCCCTAATTATATATATGGTTAGTCAAATCGTAATATGTTGACAAAAAAAAACAGTAGTAAAATTATATTAATGTTTTTTTTACTTAATGAAAGGCCTATGGTTTATGAGTTAATATGAATTTATATGAGAAATTTCACAAAATGCCACTTTTCAAGTGTCATTTTACAAAAATGCCACTTTTCAAGTGTCATTTTACAAAAATGCCACACTTTTGAAATCTTTACAAAAATACCACTTTTTCAAAATTATTTTTTCTTTATATTATTTATGTTTGGGTTAATTATGTTCTATTACGGTTTAGTTATGAAGGTTTAGGGGGTTTAGGGGGTCAAAACATTTTTTAGTGTTTAAAATTTTGAGATAGAGGGTTTAAAAATTTATAATTAGTGGCATTTTTGCAAATGAACACCCATAATTGACATTTTTGCAAATGTGCATATAAAAAGTGGCATTTTTGTAATTTCTATTTATTAGTGTTTCAAATGTGTTTGTTAATACTTAATTGGAAGCAGAAAAACAAATGTTTGGCAAATGAAACAATAGAGGATTAAATAATATAAAATTAATTAAATGAAAAAAAGAAACCTGGGCTTGAACGGAAATATTGATTGGTTTCAGTGAATCAACGAACACAAATTCTTGTTCGTATTGAAAATCTACTCCAAGCTAGCAATTCAGCTATAAATAGTTTGAATCGCTAACGTATCTGATAGAAATTAACAACAAAATTTGAAGTGAACGTTACAAACAACAAACAGAGAAAAAAATGGTAGGAAAACGTGGAAAGACAACAATCCATCTTAGACCAAATACAGTTTAATCTAAAACCCTCAAGGGAGACAAATTAACGTCTCTTTTACCCGTCGCTTGTCAAAGTCAAGGCCAAAACCACTATAGTGAGCGTTGTGATCACTGTCGCACAGGCAAACACAGTCATTGTCCTGTTCGAGACTCTAGCATGCTTCTCCTCCCCGAAGCTTACCTCCATCTCCTCCACAAGTCTTCTGACAGTTTCCATGTCCGAATCCTTTGCAGCATGAATCAGCCTGTTCTGAATCTTCTCTAGTTGTGTCTGCTTCGTTTTTCTCTTGCCTGACCAAATAAAACCCGTCATTTTCCAGAGAAGGATACCAACGTAAATCGCCACAATGCAGTCTACTGTGTAGTGGTGGCGCTCTCGTATTTCCCTCTGAGCGCTATGCAACACGAGCACCCATATCAACGCTGAAGAAAAACCTCCATAAGCCTCCTGTTAATGATTTTACCACATAATGGTTAAGTCCTCGCATAGAAATCTGTCAAACAAAATCTTCCTATAGCAGACAAGTGACGGACTTTTATGTAAAAGGATATATATACCGTCCAAGCCATAGCGGTTAGGACAGCTACAAGCATGTGGCCACTGTACAAGAGGTCGTTACAACCACCTCCAGCTTTCTTTAGTAGACCAAACCATGAAGACCCTTCAGAGTTACTCGGTCTCAAGAAGTCATTGAGGAAGCTCATTGAACCCCAATCAGCTCTGTAGTCAGCAATGTATTCTCCTGGATCAGCTGTTAATACAAAAGGCACTTTTCAGTTGGATATAGTGTTCTTAAAATCACATATACAGCAGGAGCTTATGCATTTGCGTTTACACGAGAAAAAAAAAGTCACATTTTCAGAAACTAAATGATTTGTTTTCTCATAAAATATTTTTGTCAATGCCAGAGGTATACATATAATTTAGGCTGAGGTAGTAAGTAGCTGAGACTAGACTATTACCGTAAGCTGCATCCCAATGGAGGAGCTGCCTTATAGCAGCAGGGTCTTTAGCATAGGGGACATAATATTTTTGAAGCCAGCTATGAGGATGAGAAGGGACATCGTTGAAGCGAGCTGAAGCGCACCAAGGTCGTGCTGAAGGTAAGATAGTAGATATAAAGGTTATAGCTCTTAAAAGACGTCCCAAAGCCATGGTGAATATGTATCGTGCGCCTAATCCAAGACCCGGAGCTTTAACAGAGTCGAATACTACCGAGAAACCCAACATTACAAAAAGCATAAGAAAATGGTGCAATCCAATGATATGAGCTCTCAAGATCTCCACAATCGTCGCGGGAAGGCTCTCGTTAAGTGCAAGTAGAAACCATTGGCCTGTGTCAGGGAGTGGAGGCGTATCACTGTCATATGCACCAAAGATAAATCACTTGTAATCCCTACCAATTTCAATTGATTGCTCCACCAAAAACCAACTAAAGCAATCTT